TCTTGGTTCTTAGGCTTGGATATCCCCTGGAACCCTGGTAGTCATCAAAGAGCGCCATGCCCACTCTCCAGTTCCTCCCGTTCCCCCCTCTTCTTTACCTCTGCCCTATCTGTTCCCGGGGACCCCCAGCGGCCTCTGCCGCTGTCCTTTCTTCATGCCACCAGGCCATCCCACCCTGCGACGGGGGAAAATCAGAAGCGGCCAAGAAAAGACTTCTCTAGAAGCCTTCTGAGGGCCTCAGGTTGCATACCACGGGGCAGTCCAAAAGAGGCGATCTTCGGGCCAGCCCAGAAAGTGAGCCCAACAGCGCTGCCACCGCTAGCAAGGGGGTGCAGGCATCGATCACAGAAAGGATGGACCAGGCCGGAACCAATCAGAGGCCTTCTGCTGGGCCATTAAGGGGAATATTCTTCCTCGGCCCTGGGCAGAGAAAAGGAAACGTAGAGTTGCTCAGGAGGTTTTTGATGGCAGAAAGCTCTGTGCCCGATGTTTAAAACAAGTGTGACTGGGGCAGGGCCTTGAGGAGTCTAGCTCTGATTTAATAGCAAGCAGCTGTGGTTCCTGGCTCACTTCCTCAAAGCAGCCATGTAGTTTTCAAAGCGCCCATTGCTGGCGTGAGGGGAACCCAGCTAGCTGCTGGGCTGCTGGTCCCCTGCTCCAGGCGGCCAAAGCGCTAGGGAAGGATCAAACAGCTGTCAATCAGGGAGTCAACGTCCCTGGCCTCCAATACCTTAGCTTATTTTAAAGGAGAAATGAATATTAAAAGGGTGATGACCATAGAGACATCATTAGCGATGCTATTACTGCCAACTCCCCCTCCCCCCCCCAAAAAAAAAAACCCCACAAAAACAAAGGACTGGGCCAGAGGTTCTGAGTCCACCGGTTCAGAAGAGCGGTTCCTAAGGTTTGCCAGCAGGAGGACCACACTTCTCTCCTGCTTGGATTTCTACCTTTTTCAGTGTTAGAGGCCACACTTAGGGCCTGCTATGTGCTGGGCAAATGCTCTACAACTGTGCGCGCACACACACACATTGTAACAAGACATCTGTCACTGGACAAAGGGATACACACACATTGCTGGGGAAACGGGCGTATTAAATCCAAGTGGGTAAACTTTATTGGAAAGGCCACAGCAGTATCAAGTGTTTCCAATCAAACACAGTGTTTCCCCGTTGTTTTCTAGGCTAGATTTGATGAGTTTCCCTCACCGACTTCGCATTAGAACGCCTTGTCTCCTAGGGAACTGTGAAGTACTCTGGTTTCCATTTCAACACCAGAGGCAAACCCAGAACTGCATACAAGCCACCAAGCAGAAAGACCCACCTGGATGTATGAACAGTCAGAACTGAGGTTTCTCCAGAATTTTAAATAAGGGCTCCAAAGGCCACTGTGCCTGAAGACTAAAGGCCTTGCTGGCAGCTGCACTTCCCTTTCCTATGACGAAATTTTAGGGTAGGAGGTGGCAGATGTCAGGACACATGAACTCAGTGTCTGCTAGAAATATGTAAGCAAATTGGGATTTTGGGGTGTCTATTATTCCAGGATCCTAAGAAATCGTCACTTCTAAGATTTGATAGTGATGATTTGAAATTATTTCTCTCCAAGGCATATTCTTGAAGTTTGAGGAGGAACGAGTCAAAGTCTTGCTAAGATTATATATGCAGAGAACACCTTTAGAGATTGTGGCATCTGGGTAGTAGCATGTAGAAAGAAAGGACTCAGTCAATAACACTCCACAGGCTCAGAAATCTCCTCACACAGGAGAGTAACTTACTTGTCAGGAGAATCCGGGAAGTGCTAAGGCCCTTTAAGCACATGGACATGACTTGCTGAAAATCCACACCAGGGACCTCTTCGTAGACAGAAGAGAGCCCCACATATTTCAGGTGGGGGTACCTCCACAGGCATTCTCCAGGAACAGATAATCGGGGAGCATGCATGTCTGAGCGCCTATCACACGGCTTGAGGCAAGTCTAAGGAGAATAACCTACAAGAAATTGGCAGCGTATCTAAAACTCCTGAGTCTAAATATCACTGAAAAATGATTTTTCTGTATGTTGGATATCAAAATGAGTTATAATACAAAAATTGTAATAAAATCCATCTGTTCTATTTTAATGAACAAAGACTTCATTTTCACTAGGGTTAGTCAAAGAAAGACCAAAAAAAAAAAAATATGAACAAGAAGTTCATTAAAAAGTAACTTGTTTTGGTCTGATTTAAACTTGATGTGAACTGAGAAAAGTAATTTCTTAAGATGGCAGTCTAAACAGAGATGAAGCAAAAGGAACTAACTTGGTGACTCTCCATGTCCTTATCACTGCTAACATTCATCATTAGCTGTCTCTGGCCTGCTTCGGAGGCTGTCTGGGGCCTGTTTCCTTTGTACCCTGTCTCAAAAGCAGAGATTCCCTAAAACAGTATTAGAAAGCTCTTCTTCCTTGAGATGTTTGCAAAGATTACCCTTAATTCTGGCCAGAGTCTAATCTTGTCTGGATTTTGCTCAATGATAGGATGACAGCTGTGTTTATGAGAAAGATCAAAGTTTTGTAGTTAACCACTTTCCTAAGCAAAGAAGCCAGCTGCTTTTGCCTTTTATTACAAAGCAATAGAGACTCAACAAAGCATTCTGAATGCAGATGGCAGAAATGCCTACTTCATAAAGAGTAAATCCACTGCATGATGCAGATTGCTCGCAAAGGTCAAGAAACCTGGTGGCCTCATTTTCTTCAGTATTCGATGCTCATATGGAGTTTATAAGCTGGCAGAAGAGTTACGAATTCCAAGGTCTTCTGTCAAAAATTACCATGGAATGCAGATACAGACAAGACAGAGGCACACATGGAAATAAGTCCACCCAAAGAAAGTTCCAGACAAAAGGTCACTTGTTTCTACTCAGAGTGGCCGTTGTTTTACCAGGTTAGTTATAGAACAGCTGAAAAGGTCAGAGACGAGATTAATGCTCTGGTTTCCCATAAAGGCCGTGTCCGTGTGTGCAACAGAATGCTCATGCCGAATCTGGCAGTAAAAACACCAGAAAACATCAAGTTTTTATTTTACAAAATGAGATCTTCAAAATGATGGCTCAATGATTTTATTGTATTACTGAGCTTAGGTAATGTCTTAGGGTTTTTATTACTGTAGAGAGACACCCTGACCACAGCAACTCTTATAAAGGAAAAGCATTTAATTGGAGTGACTTACCATTTTCAGAGGTTTAGTCCACTATCATCAGGTGTGACATGGTGGCGGGCAGGCAGACACGATGCAATTGCATTTAAAGGTAGAGCTGTCTTTGAATCAGCAAGGTGCACTACGGGAAAGACTGCTTGCTCCTGTCCTGTTCCGGAGGACACAGGGAGTGTTAAAGACACGCTGGAGCAGAAAGCTGCTTCTAAGGGCCCGACTGAGCTCCTGTAAGGGAGTCTGAGGATGCAGCAATCAAAACAGCCGCTTCCGGTTCGCAAAGATTACTTCTGCTCAGAGCAAAGGCACCACTGGTAGGGTCAAACTGAGCTAACTTTTTAACTATAGAAAATTATGGAAACAGTCTGGAGTAGCTATTTCTCAGAGCCATTAAAAGTAGCCGGGGGCATCACGTTGTCTCATTACTCCCTCAGCATTTCTGGGATGTCTGATATTGGACAAATTAGATGCAAGGAAAGCAACAACAAACAAGTCACATATACGCAAGAAAGATTTCAGTATTTCTTTCCTGACACGAGATTTCAAACAGTTATCTGATTTAAACATATCTGAGTCAGTGTCAACAGGCAGCCACAAGTTATCAGAGTAAGCAAACCCGAGTGTGATTCTGTTCTGGCAGCAGAGAGACACTGAAATTTCTCAACAGCCAGATCATCAAAAGCAAAGAAGCCTATGACTGCATCCTCCTGAAAGCAGAGGATTAGTCCTGACATCCTGCAGGCTCGAGAGACCCTGACTGCTCAACAGTGCAGTTAGAACTTTATCAGCATGGCTTTTTCTTTCCATGACGCTTGTGAGTGAAGCCATCTTGAGGGAAACTGGACTTCAAAAGAAGGAAAACCCTCTCAGACAGATTTATAAACAAAAACAAGAGTACTGAACCCAGGAACGGTTATTTCTCATGAACCGGAGCGATGACTAGTAACTCCCAGTGGACATGTCCACCCATCTGTCATCTATCTGTCTGTCTAACTGCACAGGCTGGCCTGGAGCTGATGGCCACTCCTCGGATGACGGCTTCTGTGCTCATCTAATGGAAGGAAACACATTTCACAGAGCAGGCTTACTAAGGTGAGCAGCTGGGAAGTGTCCTGTGGCCTGTCTGTAACCAAGGGCAACAGTCAACTTTAATTCTTTCAACTAAAAGATCAAGGAATCTCATTTCTAGATAACATCTTATTGTATAGAAATATATAATTTACAGCACTTTCTTCCCTGTTAGGTTAATACCTCCTGTCTATTTTAGGCAAAACTGTATTTAAACATCTATAAGTTATCTTTTCCCAATATAGGCACTTTTAATAAATGGATGGTAGTTGTACTGGATAATTTCATTAGACAAGTTTACATTCTGGATTAATTTACAATTAGCAACTCATGCTTGATCCCAACTTCAGCATGTTCACGTCACCAAACTGGATCCCTAAATACGAATATGTTTTTACAACACTTCTTAAGTTTAAGATAACAATTTTCAAATATGGTGGCCCAGGTGATTAACTTTGGGTTCTCAATGTTTTTATTTCTGACAATTAGGAAAAGCTTATATGTCCTCAAAATGTAGCTGGGATGCTCAGCTTCATATTCCTTAGCAAAATGTAGACCCAGGATGTACAGCTTCAAGGCTCAAAATAGAGCTGGGACGTACAGCTTCATGCTCCTTAGCAAAATCTGTCCTATGTTCCTCGTCCTCTCGTCTCTGGAGCTGAGCTCTTAAGGTCATTACACGGTTCTTACAAGATTTTACAGAGTATGTACACACATTTGACAGGCAATAAAGAACAACAAGAACATATGTTTCAAGAAGTCTTCATTTTATTTATCAAAGAAGACAACTGAGGCATTTCTAGACTTACAGTATATTTGATATAAAAATAAGGATTTTTCCAAAATATACACCAAAATACAAAGTATAGGATAAAAAAAACAGAGGAACATCATATTTCTGTCACCCAAAACAAGAGCTTGTGGTCTCCTCCAACCGCACACAGTGGGAGTGTTCTATGCCAGGAAAGACCAGATCCGACTGCCACAGAACCAGTGAGGATGGGCTGGAAATATGTGAAGAATTGAAGAAGCACAGTGAATTCTTAAAAAAAGGAAAACCACTGTCTTTCTTCTATTTTTTTTTTTTTTAGAAATGTATTTTACATTTATAATTGCTTGGTAAGTGTTGATGAAATAATTGTCATTTATAGTAAGGGACGTTACTTATTAAGCTACTATCTCCTAGGGTCAGAGCATCACAGAACAGAGATCTGAATAGTGCAACATGTGAGCAGGCGTTCAGACGACAGGACAGGTGCTCCTCTGTAAGAATTACGTGAAGAAAGAGAACTGCAAAGCGGTGGGCTCTTTGTCAGCCCCTAGACTACTCTTATAAGTTAGAAATGGGACTGGAGAAAAAGCTCAGTGCCCGAGGGCCCTTTTCGAGCCCCACATGGCTGTTCTCTATCACCCCAACCCCAGTGCCAGGGATCCAACGCCCTTTCTGAGCTTCGCAGGCACCAGGCATGCATGTGGCACACACATAAAATACGGTAAGAAACTATTTTTGTAATAGAAGTATAATAATGATAAAATACAAATTATCTACTTGCTCCTGACTTGAATGAAAATCTACACCACCTATGAATTGTGGTACAGTCCAGAGTCAAATATTTCTGTAGTCTACACAAACCAAACAAACAAAATCAATATACTTAAAGATAAAATGCAGATAGAACAGATGAAATATGATTTTTACATTAATTTTGAGGAAAAATAATCTGTTGCTACTGGTGATCAAAACATTCAAAGAAACCTTTCATTTAAGCAGAGAGCAGACATAGTATCTTTAGTTACTAATTGCAAACTTGGGAGCTATGGTTAGAAAAGTCAAATATCCAGTTTAAAAAAACACCTACCCACAAATGCCATGAAACATTTTTATTACCTGAGAGTGTCCTAAGTGGTGAATCTGAAACTGGCTTGTCATTTTGCCAGGATACCCAGTGGTAGCAAATAAGTTTTCGCTGATTGCAGACCACCTAAGAAACAAGAGGGCATAACCATAAGCACTTGCCTGCAGGCAATTATAAGTTTGTCTGAAGAAGGCTACATCCGTCTGTGCAAAAGCAGTCATTTCATAATTTCACCTCTGTCAATATGGCTTCCCAGGTAGACTTCCAGCTTATTTAGCTATGAATGCCTCCCTTTTCTGGATATTCGCTGAGTACTCACTTGGAGCTCAGGACTACATTTTACCATTACGCATGGTTAGCACAGTCTCCACAGATGGAGACACAAGGCATCAGCCATGTATGGACATTCTGAAGATCAAAACAGCTATGCTCTGTCATATGGGTGCTGAGATCAAACCTAGATTCTCTGGAAGAATAGTGTTCTTAACTGCTGAGTCATCATCTCTCCAGCCCCATTCGCGGTCATTTCTTAACTGCTGAGTCATCTCTCCAGCCCCTCATTTCTTTTAAATTCTGTGATACACTTGTGTTTCGGTCACTTGGGATGGCATAACCACTCAGACTATTCAAGTCTTCAAGGTATCAAGGGAAATCTCTCCATTTCTCTAAGTCAGCAAATGCTAGTGGAGACACTATAGATAGATGACTGTCGGTGTCGTGAAGAAGGCAGAGGAAAATAATTCTTTGACAATCAATATCTGTCCTCTGTCTATACCAACTGAACCTCAGCACTGCTCTGTGATAGGGTCCATCTCTAGGAGGAGAGATGTACTTGGTGAAGAACGCCATAGCCATTCCCCACAAATGTGGAAGCACTCCATTTTCTCGTGATCTTAGGCAACGCTGCAGCAGACTCTATCAGCCAGAAGAACACGTCCAGTACCTTCTACTAGTCTCCTTCCTACTGCCAGCAGGCAGGGTCTCTCCCTGAGCCAGACGCTCACCATTCCTTGTAGGCTGGCAGGCCAGTGAGCTAGGATCTACCTGTCTCCGCTCCCCAATGCTGGGGAGGTGGTGGAGACTGGAACTCAGGTCTCAATGCCCACATAGTAAGGGTCCTTACCCACCACACAGTCTCCCTAGCAATGTCTGTGTTTTTAATGACATCGAAGACCTGCTAACACACTGAGCAGGTGACTCTCACCAATCACACCGAGCAGGTGACTCTCACTCTCTGGAGAAGGGGAACTCTTAACATCTTTGAGTTCTCACAAAGCACACACAGTCATTGAGTTAAAAGCATGCCTTTGCTCATATCTCTGAAATTTGGATTATCTGATAATCTATGGAATTTTTAAAAATATATAATTTATTTTTATGTGCACTGGTATTTTGCCTGCGTGTCTGTCTGTGTGAAGGATTCAGAAGTCCTGGAACTGGAGTTACAGACAGGTGTGAGCCACCATGTGGGTAATGAGATTTGAACTTGGATCCCCTGGAAGAGCAGCCTGCACTCTCAACTGCTAAGCCATTTCTCCAGCCCCTAATCTATGGAATTGTAAGACTATAATGAATATATTTCACTTTTAATAATAATGGAGTCTCCATGATCTTATTAGGGGTATTTCAGACTTGATTTAAAACAAACAAACACACAAACAAACAAACAAACTCCAGCAAATTTCAAATGTCTTAGTGTTTTCAGTCTGGTATTATGCTTTTTCTATTATTTAAGACTGCTAATAACTATATAATGGAATAAAATGACAAAAAGCAAGACATATTAATTTAAGTGAAAAACAAAACTAAACTTCAGCATGTTAAAGAGTCATACTAGCTGGCATGATACTGCTTACAATCCAGTGATATTCTTACGCAAACTGGGTCTGTGCACACTGTACTTATCAGAACAGAACAACGCTGAGGTGGTACTGAGACTGGCTACACGTTCTCTGTGAACGAGCATTTTCTAAGTGTTTGAAAAAGTAGATTTCCCACTTGCTTAAAGCAACTACATAGCAGGGAAAGCAAGACAACCCTGAAAAAGCGAGCAGACAAAGCAAATCAACCCCCAAACGCTAATGCCGAAGGGAGGGCTGAGGAATTCTGGTAGTGGCACACCACCAAAGCAAGAATTCACACAACTCCAACAAAAGAGAGCATTACCTAAACAGATGTGCTCGGTCCGTGTGAACAGGTCTCGTCTCTTGAGGGTAACTGTAAAACAAGAGTTTGCATTTTGAAATTATGTGTTAGACTCAAGTAGACAAACTTAAAGGTTTCAAAGGTGTCTTTTTCTTTGGAGCCCAGTAAATTTAAGGTGCAACAAAATTCCAAGTAAGCACTCAATTGGAAATAGATAGAAACCAACAGACACGACTTAGAATCACCCTAGGGCACCACAGAGTCAGCGTTTTTCTTTTCTAACATTCCCAGAACTCCTGCCCTTCTACAGGAGAGACTTGTTTTCAATCTACACGGAGGCCTGTATGTATAATGGCCCATCGGGTCACTTAACAACGTACTTATGTAATGTAACAGCACATATACTAAATATCTACCTGGACCGAGTGATGTCCCAAATTATCCAATCATTTCCTGCGACAGCACCAACTTTGAAGGTGTTTTTCAAGCACCAGTGTGCTGACATTAACGGTGTCTGTTCTGATTGAAGAGATAAAATCGCCTGCTGGGCCATTAGATCATAAAAGCGGATTGTTCCATTCTTCTCGGCAACCATGAGCTGTAACACACAGAGGAAGAAGGGAACTCCATGTCATCTCATTAGCTAAATCTAAGAAGGAGAGGTTCAATGTCATAAAAAATAAACATGCACACACAGATACACACACACACACGCACACACAGATATACACACACACATCACAAACAGAAGGCAGATGCATAAGAAATGAGAGGCTAGCCGGGCGGTGGTGGCGCACGCCTTTAATCCCAGCACTGGGGAGGCAGAGGCAGGGGGATCTCTGTGAGTTTGAGACCAGCCTGGTCTACAAGAGCTAGTTCCAGGACAGGCTCCAAAACCACAGAGAAACCCTGTCTTGAAAAACCAAACCAAACCAAACCAAACCAAACCAAACCAAAACAAAACAAAACAAAACATAAAAAAAAAAGAGAGGCTATATAAAAGTATCAATACAAAAACATTCCAGAGGAAATTGGCAAAAAGAAACAAAAAAGGTTAAATTTTAGGGCATCAGCTTTGTCACTAGGAGGATCAAGATGAATACTCTAGGAAAAGTTATATTTACACTAGTTATAAAAGGCCATTATGTATCCTTTGACAGGTGATTTCTGTTACACATCTTTATACAGTGTTTACAGATGTATGTATGTATACACGGCATGGAACAGTCAAAGACAGACAGGTCTGGATAGAAAGATGGCTGCTTCTTCCACTTAAAAGTGACTAACTGCTATGTGATTGGCGGCTCTTATCTCTGAAATGGAGATGTGAGGAGAAGACTCTAGCTACTGTGGGAACTGTGAGATGGACCACTGCTAGGTACCACTGTGTCCTGAAGTTACGACCTATGTCCTACCTCTATAATGCCAAAACAAACAACAAAAGCTCAAGTAGATACTGAAGGAAAGAAGGCCAAGCCACAGAAGAGCCACATGCCCATCTGCTAAACTTGCTCCTGCGAAGTCAGGTCCCAAGCTTATCAAGGTCTCTATGAAGTACTGAACGGAAAAAGCTAATCCTGGCGAGGATGGGAGCACCCTCCAGAGTCTGCAGGATCTGAACCAGGAAATCTGATGATGCTGGAGATACTTCCAAGCTTGTGTATTGTTGATAATCCTACTTCTGTTGGCTAGATAATTTGAAAAAAATATTTTAAAATAAAGTCTTATAAAAATGCAATCTTCTCTTTTCCAAGCTATATAGCCAGCACACAGAACCCTTCACTGCGGTGGGGGAGAGAACATGTGTTATTAACAGTGTTTCCAAAGTCAGACTGAAGTATAGGAGGGAGAGCACCTCTCCCTGCTAGTTTTGAGACTTTCTCTTGAATCATAGGATGAGGTGTTCCCTGACATGATGCAGGAAAACTCAAGTTTATTTTTATGTCCTTTTCCCCTTCTACCATCAACTTAGATTCAGTTGTTTTAATGGCAGAGATAATTTGAAAAGGACTCAGGGGCTTCTTCAGATTGATACTTCTGTGATTTTCAATTCCTGGATGTCAGGGCCGGCTTATAAAACGCTGTCAAACATGATGTGACGGCTAATATCACTTGTCAACTTGACAGGGTGTAGACTCGCCCAGGAGACAGGCGTGCCTCAGAGAGAACACCCACCAAGAGTCAGCCAGTTCAAGTGGGAGGATCCACTGCAGGTGCTGGGGTCCTGGACCGCACTGAAAGAAACCGAGCTGAGCGCTAGGTCTGCTTCCCAAGTGCAGACGCAATGTGACCAACTGCCTGGTGCTGTCATGACCTCCCCAAACGATGAGCTTCCCCTTCAGCAGTACTCAAACCCCTTCCTTCCCACTTTACCAGGCTTTCTTGTTGTACCAACGAGAAGAAGAACTAATACACAACCCTAATGTGAACTGTCAATCCTCACTTTAAGCTTCCCCATTCAGAACCAAGTATAGACTTTATGCAATCTGATGGCATCTTTCCCATTTTGATAGCTCATGTATGAAGGGAGTTTGAAAACTGTTGCATACTGTTAATGACTGCCCATGTCTTGTTTGAAATATCATAGTGGCTCATGAAATCTATTTTTAGTAAGCTACATATAAGCTGGCACAGAAAAAGTAGTAATAGGCTTGTTTTGCAAAGCATCTAGTAAATACTGAATTTTTAGATAAAGAATATTACTACCTAAATATTCCCTTATTCTAAGATTCCATTAGTTTTAGATGTTTAATAGACTAGTTTTATCACTATATGAAATATGTAATCAAATGTATATTTATACAATAACTCCCAATTTTATAAAAATTACATGAAAGTTGTTTCTTCAACTCACGAAAGCGTGCCATTAGGATATCATCTATGGGAGAAAAGATTGCTGCAACTATATTCGGCACGGCGTTCACAGCTAATGTCCACAGAACACGCTTTATCTCCTCTGTAAGGCCCCTTCCTCCTGAGAGTGTCCTTTGATTTGGACTACAGAAAGGTGACAACGCTCATGGACGTGAAGGAACAGGGACGGAAGAAAGAGCAGGGCTGCTGGGAGACCCTCGGCTCTCACACTCAGTGTGTCACAAAGAGGGAAAACAGTTCACAATCAGAAAGTAAGAAACGGTGACAGAGCACAAAGGGAAACGCACGAGCGCGCGTGTGCGTGCACACACACACATCTATTTATTTAATGGGATGAGTTTCAAGAAATAAACTATCAACAATGTGAAAACTATCTCCATTTAAGCATTTTTTTAAGGAAAAAAACCCACTAATGTATTGGAAATACCACAGGTAATTTGAGAAAATATTGGTAACTCAACGACATTATAGAGTTAGACTAAGATGAAAAACAACTAAAGTCAAAAGAGGGCTAAACCTGCCGCATTTATACACCTACATAAGTTATTCTAGGATCCGCATCTGAGAAGACATGAGCCTCAGTCAGACTTTGTTACTTAGTATGGGCTTCAACTTCCATCTACTGCCCTGCGGTTGTCGTGACTTCATTCTCGTCCATGGCTGAACACACACACCACATTTCCTTCACTGATCTGCTGATGGGCATCTAGGCCACTCCATTTGTTGGCCATTCTGAAAGGCGCAGCACTCATCAATAGACATGTTTATGAACACACACAGAGCTAAGAAGGGAACCATGAGAAGTGGAGGAGAAAAGGCATTAAGGGAGGGTAACAGAATACATGTGACATGAGGAACAGTGGAGGCGTCGGGACAGGAAGGAGACCAGGCAAGAGGGCAGGAAGAGAGGGAAGGGGAGTGGGTCAGTGACCAACAAGGACATACTTATGCAATAATGAGATCCACTAATTTGTATTTTAATTTTAAGAAAGCTAAACAAAGGAAAATATACCCAAACATTTAGAAATAAAAGGTACAACAGAGACAGCTTAAAATTGAAAAGGAAGTTGGAATGATTTAATTGCTAGGAGAAAAAGCTTTACCACTGCATATTTGCTAGATTTAATCAACTCTATCTTTTTGTGGGAAATCGAGGACACAGCAGTGAACTAGAGAAAGGCACGAAGCTATTAGAGATCTAGGAAAATCAGGTGCCCAAACAATGAGGGTGCCTACAGGAAATGCTGAAGGATCCATTCTGAAATGAACATGGACAGTCTATGGAAAACATTGGCAGATGAGAAAACTTGTTGAATGGCTCCTGTCTTCACCATGAATTAAGGGTAAACAGCAGTAGTTAAGAACTCAGTGTAGCTTTAGTATCTTAGGAAGCTTTAATTTGAACAGCCCTGATGACTCAGTGGTTAAGAGCACTACTTGCTCTTCCAAAGGTCCTGAGTTCAATTCCCAGCAACCACATGATGGCTCACAACCATCTGTAATGAGATCTGGTGCCCTCTAGAGGTAGTGACCTGGGCAGTCATCCTCATCCACTTAGACCATGAAACCCAGTATGCACAAGTTCAACAGAACCACCATACACGGGCTGCCCATGCGTGCTTCAGCATTGCCAGGGCATAGATTTCATTTCAATTTTTTTTTTTAAATTTGAACAGGAACGGGATGTCACTAATACAGAACAGATGAGCCTTATGCCACTGACGCTCTTGTCTGTATGTAACCTCTGGTGTTCTGTTTTTGTGAGCTGCACACTGCTAACTGGACTGAGCCTGGGTCTCCAGGCTGCAGCCTCCACAGGCCAGGAAAAGCACATTCTGCATATACAAACGATGGTTGCTAAGGCAATGTGAGAGAAACAAAGTGCCGACTTCTGTACTACCTCAAATGCACTTGTGCTCATAGTGTTTGAGGTGGGAAGTCACTGGGTCTCCTTTACAAGTATAGGCATTCATTATACCTGCGTGTTTGGTAAGGGAAAGCCGAGTTACAGATAATAACCTTAAAAGCTTCCTCGGGGTGCCAGCATACACTCCTTCCAGGAGAATGAAGAAGAAAATGAGCCGTCTGCTTTCCTTCCAAGTTCCAAATCCTAATAAAAAGAGTTTGATGTTAAATATTCTTGATACATCACTACCAAAAAAGTGAAACTTTGACAAATGTCATCAAAGCCATTACCTACAGATTATTACATACACTTATATTTGATAAACATCTTTGAGAAAATGAAAATACTGTTGTTGAACAATGTCAAGTTGACATAAAGAATCTAAGTTTCACCATGCTCAATTATGGAAACAAAGACATATATTTTCTAATTAATCTAACATAATAACATTAATTATTTATGTGTCCACTGCAAGCAAAATCAATGTTTCGAGGCCATTGATCTGGTTGCATGCTTACTTAAGTCATTTCAATTAATTATTCCTATCAGTGGTGCTTACACACACACACACACACACACACACACACGCACGCAATCTCTATACATTTTCAAATTATAAAAAAGCCTTTCCATTTTCAAAATAATGAAGCAAATATGAAGTGATAGGAATTTAGTGCATAGCCATTTTCCATGACGCTTATTCCTTCCACCTTTGGGCATGTCTCATCTCACAGCATTTTGGTCTGGCCGATTTTTCTAATGTTTTCTCCTCAAAGCTGGACATGCTTAACAGTTACTAGATTAAAGACAGATTAAAGAAACAGGCGCTCGGTTCCTTCTACCGTCCATCGATAAGCCTACTCAAAAATAAGGCTCTTCTCGGCAGCTTGTCAAGACAGGGCTTCTCTGTGTGACAGCCCTGGCTGCCCTGGAACCAGCTCTGTAGACCAGGCTGACCTCAAACTCAGAGACCTGTCTGCCTCTGTCTCCCAAGTGCTAAGATTAAAGGTGTGCACCACCACACCCCAGGTCTCAGAACTCTCAGGCAGGGCACTGTCCTCAGGACGATGCTCTTTGGCTTGCTCACAATTCTCACCCAGTCACTGTTCCACTGTGCAGAGTGGATTAGCATGGCGGGAGACAGAAACCCGAGGATCGGGGTGGCAAAGTGCCTCCAGCGTTCTGGTCTTCGTGAGCACATTCACAGCTAAGGGTGCAGCTCAGTGGAGTGTGATGAGCACATGAGGCTCTGGCTCTGCCTTAGCAACCCTCATCAAAACTGATAATCAAGATTAGGAGTTCTCCCCCGTTTTGTGTAGGTTTTATAGTTCCTACTTGCTTTAGGACTCTGGAGGAGTCTGTAAAAATTGAGGAATGTAAAGTAGGGAAAGTTTACTTGTGAAAAGTATAGGACGTCAAATTTGAAATGCCGTAGTAACATACAAGCTAGCACACATATGTTTCAGGATCACCTACTTGTTAAACATTAGAAGCATATCTTTTCTTTTACCAAAAGATACTTTTCATTTCTTTTAACTATATGAAGCAGACAGCTCTGGTTTAACCGAAGAAGCAAATCACCAAGAGTGATTTGCCAACTCTTGTCCTTCAATACCTAAGATGAGATTGGACATTAAGGCAACTAAATCTTTCTCCTCTGTTACCATTTCCATAATGAAGTATTGGGCTAGCAAATATTTTATCACTATTGGAATAGCAGAAATCTGTCTTCTCAACTCAGTGCGTCTCACTGGGGGTGGACTAAAACATCCATTCTTTTGATTTCATTTTAAAATGAATTTGATTTTTGTTGGCTATTATATAAATTGAGCAAATACATGCCAAAATATTTTCATGGTTCCCCCTCTTCAAATAAAGAAGACAAAAGAGGTGAAAAATAGAGAGACAGTTATGAAAATAAGTCAATTAACTAAGTATATTGTGGTCTAGTGAGCCAAATTTTAGTCTAATTTCAGCAGTATTTTATCCTGATCAGAACCCGATGATCCTTTTAAAAAAAAAGGGGAGCTAGTTCAAGCATGAGGAGGGTCATATGGATTGTATTTCAGAGGACTAGGATACAATGATTTATGGTTTGTAATTATACACTGATTCAATAATTCCCAAATGTTGCATAATCTCAGTACTAAGTATGCAAAATACAACAAATTGGACTAAAATAAGTTATCCTAACTAAATTAGTTGCAGATGGTACAATTTAAGTTGTTATGTCTTATTTCCCTTTTTGATAGATTCCGTAATTAAGCCCTCTGAAATTCTTTTGTGGAGCTCAACTCATTTTCTATCTTATCCAAATACATTACGTCCATCTGACCATGCTGCCTTTCCTTCCCTCGTGTGAAGTCATCAGACACACACGGTAGATGAATCGTAGGCACCCAGAACAGAACACACTCAGAGAGCAGCAGCCCAGTCTAGAGCACCCCAACCCCCCACACCACCCACAACGCTCTTCTCTAGCCATTTCCTCACTCCCGGACAAGGAAGAAAGTCACCATTATGACTTCTAACGAGGAGGCTTACTTTTCAGTAGCATAAAGACAACGCCACAGCGTGCACTTCTGTTCTGGTTCTCTCACCGCTGCCACGTCCTGTGAGAACGCTGTTATAGCTCCCCACAGAGTTCCCAGTTCAGCACACAGCCACACACACACTGCCACAGACACCCTTGGTGCCTGCAGACCTCCACGTTCACCCCCAGCCCCTCTGCAGCACACAGCCATTCCCACAACCCCTGCTGTCTGCTCAGTACATAGCTATGCGTGGGTACCGTAAAAAGGTAAAACTCTCATCTCATGTGCTAACAAAAACACCACTGGTCTGAATGTCAAAAGCTGCAGTTCTCCAGATGATCTTCTTTCATAAGACTGGTTTCATTTCTAAGATTATGAGTTTTTATTTTATTTATTTATTTATTTTGGATTTTTGAGACAGGGTTTCTTTGTAGTTTTTTTGGTGTCTGTCCTGGAACTAGCTCTTGTAACCAGGCTGGCCTCGAACTCACAGAGGTCCGCCTGCCTCTGCCTCCCGAGTGCTGGGATTAAAGGTGTGCGCCACCACTGCCCGGCCTTATGAGTTTTTATTTTAAATTGTGTGTGTGGTGCCTGTAGAAGCTACAAGCATCAGATTTCTCTAGAGCTAGAGTTTTAGGTGGTTTTGAGCATCCTGGGCGCTAAGAACCAAAGCTGTTCTCTACAAGAACTATCCTCTACAAAGCCATTATGAACCCTTAACCATTCACTCATCTCTCTAGGCCCTAAGATCGAGTTCTTAAATTATTGTTCTTTCCTGTATTTGACGTCATTTCCCTGATCTATGCATGGATACATTTGGACAAATTTTAAGATGTCTTTATCCTTGTTTTTGTTTTGTTTTTCTTTATTGTTTGTCAATTTGACACAAGTTAAGAGTTATCTGAGAAGAGAAGCCTCAGTTGGGGAGACGCCTCCACCCAGATTGACTATAGGCAAGTCTGTGGGATGTTTCCTTGATTAATGACTGATGTGGGTGAGCCCAGCTATTCTGAGTTGTGTAAGAAAGCAGGCTGAGCAGTCCACAGGGAGTAAGGCAGTAAACGCCATTCCTCCATGGCGTCTGCTTTTGTTCTTGACTCAAGGTTCCTGCCTCCCACCATGACTTTCTCAATGAGGAGTAGAACGTGAGGGCTCAAGCTTTTCTTCCCAAGTTGCTTCTGGTCATGGTGCTCTATCACCGCAACAGAAACCCTGACCGAGACAGCAGAGGCACAATCTGTAGCAGATCCCTGCTGACAGGTCTTCCTACCCCCCTATGTATATAATTGCCTTGTAATTAATTAAAAGACCCCACAAATTGTGTGTTGGCACGAGATACCATAGCATTTTCAAGGACCTTTTCAACTTACAACTGGTGGTGGGTAGTCTGAGAACTCGGAGGAATCTCATGCATAACACACTGTTCTTTCATTTGTTTACTGTTTCAGTTGGCAGCTCACTGTCTGCTAGCAAGTGTGCCACAGAAGGACATTTCTGCTAGCAAATGTTTTCAGACAACAGACAAAAGAAGGGATGCATGACATTAGGTGACGCATCTGTGCCCATGAAAGCCAAAATACAAACCGCAGGATTTCTACAAAACACCACTAGATCACACGCATTGGTGTGCTGACGAATTCCATAGAAAAGAACTAAAGTAACGGGCAGAGATACAGTCGTAAGGACAAAAGGGACTTTATCTGTCCTTGTGTGCAAGAACGGGACTGCCAGTGCTGACAGTTTTGTTCAGTTTGTTGTGATAGCAGAATGAAGATTTTCCTTCTTAATTATGAATTATCAAGCAACTCAGGTTAGACGACCAGAGAAAGTGATGGTGAGACAAAAGACTTAAGTGTTTAACAAAGTTCAGAGGTGTGTAGTGGCATTTCATTTGTATTTTAATAAATAAAACTTGCCTGAAGATCAGAGAGTAAAACAACCCCACTGGTCAGCCTTAGGACCAGGTAATGGTTAGCACACACCTTTAATCCCAGTAGCCACACTGGCTGCCATAAGAACCAGGCAGTGTTTGCCTTTAATCCCAGTGGTGCGTTCCTTTAATCCCCGCCCTAGAAAGGATTCTAGACAGGAGAGCACAGCCCTCAGACACGGTCTCATTCTGAGATTCCTGGAGGCAGGATAGCCATTTCAGACTGAGGCTAAGAGTCAGTGCCCTGTTTTGCTTTTCTGACCTTCAGGTTGAACCCCAATTTCACTCCCTGAGTTTTTATTAATTGTGCTACAGAGGTGGGACTCTAATAATTAATTAAAAGCCCAAATCTAGGAATTAAATCTTTACAACTTTTGTTAGTTAATAGCTTGGACTATAGCAAAGTTTGGCAGCTATGTAAACCCTTAGAAGTAGAGGTAACCAGCCTGGTCTACAAAGGGAGTCCCCAGGACAGACCTGTGGTTTGAATGCAGATTGTCCTCTCTGAAACACTAGGAAATGAGACCTGGACTCTTGAGACGCCACCAGCCTGATGACCCGAATTCAACTCCTGAGATTCCCGTGGTGGAAGGGAATCTCTTCCCTTCCTCTGACCTCTACACACACACCCCCTGGTATATTTGAGCTCATGCATAAGTAAATAAATTCTAATTTAAGAAAAAAAGTAGAGACAACTAAATAGTACGATAATTTGAAGCAAGGATTTCTCAAAGGGTATG